ATGGGCCTTCGTAACCGAGAAATGAACGAGAAAATGTTGAGCAACAACATAAAGATTCACGTTTCTTGATTTAGACAATCTTTAGTCAACTTTCAATAAAATCAGTCTTTTCTCAAAATAACCCTATTCTGGCAGAGGAAACAGATTCGAGGATTCCGCAAAACTAATAGTAAATCCGGATTCGTGAATTCCGAAAAATTTTGGTAAGCTCTATAAAAAAATCGCTATTTTCTCAAAATAACCTTACTCTGACAGAGAAAATAGACTTGAAGATTCCTCAAAACTAATAGTAAATCTGGATTCCTTGACCCCAAAAACCTATAAGAAGTCTATACAAAGTCATTATTTTCTTAAAATAAGCGTACTCTAACGTAGACCCTGGTAGATCCTAGTAGACCCTGGTAGACCCTAGTAGACCCTGGTAGACCCTAGTAGACCCTGGTAGACCCTAGTAGACCCTGGTAGACCCTGGTAGACACTGGTAGACCCTGGTAGACCCTGGTAGACCCTAGTAGACCCTGGTAGACCCTAGACCCTGGTAGACCCTGGTAGACCCTAGAACCTGGTAGACCCTAGACCCTGGTAGACCCTAGACCCTGGTAGACCCTAGTAGACCCTGGTAGACCCTGGTAGACCCTGGTAGACCCTAGTAGACCCTAGTAGACCCTGGTAGACCCTGGTAGACCCTGGTAGACCCTGGTAGACCTTGGTAGACCCTGGTAGACCCTGGTAGACCCTGGTAGACCCTAGACCCTGGTAGACCCTAGACCCTGGTAGACACTGGTAGACACTGGTAGACCCTGATAGACCCTAGACCCTGGTAGACCCTGGTAGACCCTGGTAGACCCTGATAGACCCTGGTAGACCCTGGTAGACCCTAGTAGACCCTGGTAGACCCTGGTAGACCCTGGTAGACACTGGTAGACCCTGGTAGATCCTGATAGACCCTGGTAGACCCTGGTAGACCCTGGTAGACCCTGATAGACACTGGTAGACCCTGATAGACCCTGGTAGACCCTGATAGACCGTGATAGACACTGGTAGACCCTGGTAGACCCTGATAGACCCTGATAGACCCTGGTAGACCCTAGACCCTGGTAGACCCTGATAGACCCTGATAGACCCTGGTAGACCCTGATAGACCCTGGTAGACCCTGGTAGACCCTGATAGACCCTGGTAGACCCTGATAGACCCTGGTAGACCCTGGTAGACACTGGTAGACCCTGGTAGACCCTGATAGACCCTGGTAGACCCTGGTAGACCCTGGTAGACACTGGTAGACCCTAGACCCTGGTAGACTCTGGTAGACCCTGGTAGACCCTAGACCCTGGTAGACCCTAGACCCTGGTAGACCCTAGACCCTGGTAGACCCTGGTAGACACTGGTAGACCCTGGTAGACCCTAGACCCTGGTAGACCCTGATAGACCCTGGTAGACCCTGATAGACCCTGGTAGACCCTGATAGACCCTGGTAGACCCTGATAGACCCTGATAGACCGTAGTAGTTCTTTATCGATCCTACAAGACTAATAGATTTTAATGAAGAATAGTGTATCCTGTGAATGAAAGCTGAAAATAATTAAGATAGGATTATTGATTGAAATATTGATCAAAGTTATCATTAAAATGTTGCTTGATATTTCTTTATGGGAATTTTGAATTACAAAGTAATTCATTTACGTCATGGTCTCCATATTGGAGATCCACGATCTGGACCGATTAGACAATATTATGATCGATTACGAACAGAATTTCAACAAAATCAAACGAACCCACATAATATTTTAACTCAAGTTAATATTGGAGTCCAGGATGAAGTTCGTGTTAAAATAACAAGCAATGACAATTTGAAAAGAAACATTCGTCGTTGGCGACAAGAAGCTCATGCTGCACCAGTACCATCAAATATCGACTTCCCATTTGTTCCAGATTTATATCATCGAACAACACGTGATACAATATTTCTTCGTAAAGATACTGGTCCTACTTCGGATAGAATGCTAATATTTTTTACTGATGAACAAAGAAATATTATGGAAAACTCTACGGTAAGCTTTCATGAAATATCTTTTAATTATACGACCTCTTTGTTCTCTAGGACTTCTTCATAGATGGAACGTTTAAAGTTGTTCCGGAAATATTCTTTCAACTCTTTGTAATTCATGCTAATTTTCGTGATCATATATTTCCAGTATTATTTGTTCTGTTACCTGGCAAAAGCCGTAAAATCTACGAAAAAATGTTCAACAATATTATTGCATTGATTCCAAGATGGTCACCTGGACGCATCATGATGGACTTTGAGAAGGCCGCAATGAATGTTGTCGATGCCACTTTTCCTGCCATTGAAATTAGTGGTTGTTTCTTCCACTTAACCCAAAGTGTTCAACGATTTTTACAGGCAAATTTTTCGATCCAATCAATAAAAATTGTATTTTTTTTTGTCGAATTTTATTTAGAATCATGGCTTTAAACAGAAGTATGAAACAGATATTACATTTGCTGATAATATACATAAAATATTGGCTTTGGCATTCCTCGAACCAACCCAAGTTATTAATGGTTTTGAATCTTTATGTTCGGAATTAGGTGAAGAATATCAAGAAATCCTTGATTATTTTGAAGATAATTACATAGGGCGACTTCGTGGACGCTCAAGACGCCCAGCAACATTTCCTATTAATATTTGGAACATGAATACACGTGTGAAGAATAATTTGCATAGAACTAACAACAACATCGAAGGATGGCATCGAAAATTGAACTGCAGCTTTCAATGCACACACCCAAGTTTGTGGACATTTTTGAACAAGTTGATTAAAGAAGAAAACAATATACATTCAGATGTAATTAATGCTATGTCCGGTCACCCACCACGAAAACGTAAACATGATTCCATGAACACACGGCTATACAATTTGGTTCACAATCCACATATGGACGTCAATGATCAATTAAAATACATTGGACGATTGTTATCTATGTAGTTTTTTTTCGTCTTATCATTCTGTTTGCTGTTTTTTCTCTTGCTTTGTCAACAAATATTATGATATGTCTCATTCATATATTTACTTCAAAATATTTCTATGAACGAGTGTGTTGACGAGCAAATGTCATAGCGAGTAAATGTCCTAGTGAGCAACTGTCCACACGAGCAAGTATCCATACGAGCAAGTGTCCTAGCGAGCAAATGTCCTAGCGAGCAAATGTCCTAGCGAGCAAGTGTCCGCGAGCAAATGTCCGGCGAGCAACTGTCCCGCGAGCAACTGCCCTAAACCCATATGAATATACAACGAAGTTCTTTTAATTATGAATAGATATATACACTTCTCTAACTTATCCATAAAAAATGAATACAGAATATCTGTTAGTAATGAAAGTACATTCGTAATGATTAAAATAAAATCTAAATAACTGATTATCATGTGCTAATTATGTAACATCATTCTGTACTGTTCTAAGGCTTCCCTCCTAAACGCGTAGTATTATCTGAAAAATCAATCTTGAATTTGTCATGTCTTATCATTATTTTCTTTTCTCATAACTAGAGATGCAATCCAATAGCGGCTAAACTATCGTTGTCAATTTATCCATTGATTCACAGTTAGGAGTTTCAATGGAGCACGTGAATCATAGCTTATTTTCTGTCAAAATTGCATTTTTTCCTTAGAAATATAATATTAGCTGATACTACTTTGAAAAAATTAGCTCAAAAAAAACAAGATGAAATTTGAGAAAATTTTTAATGAAAAATCGTTGAGAAGGACTCTGGGTTTAAAATTTTATCAAAAAATTTTATACTTAAAAAATTAACAAACTTGACATCATACAATTCAATTTTATACGCTTATTCTGAATATATCATCGATTTTCTTTTGAAGTGTTTTGGAAACCTGAAAAATCTGAAAAACCAAGCATTTTTTGAAAAATTTTCTAAATCAGTTCAGAAATATTAATGCATCTTTACCCTAATTTAATAGATATGTCTTATCAAGAAAAACATTTTGTGAAAGTTTCATCCAGTTGGCAGCTACGCTAAAGTGTGCACGTGCACCACAGTGAACACGTCTTCTTAGAAAATCTTCAGTTAACAAAGAATAATTAGTTTATTCCAACCGGCAAAGTGTTAAAACAAAAGTTTTCGTTATAGAAGAGTTTTACTTTAAGAATCTAGATGATTTATTCCTTCGAATTTTTCTACTTTCTTTGGAAAAAGATACTTTTCTCTAATATCACACGAATTTGGACATTTTAGAACTTTGATTCTTAAAACAAATAAGCCAAATATTTTGTTTGTTAACTTATACTATACTTTTATTCAATTTTCTATTTATTTTCTT